TTTTTTTTTTTTTTTTTTTTTACATTTGTTGCCTTTTGTAGGCACTTGCAGAGCATTTTAGAATTTTTTACATATACATATTTAGGCCTTTGATTCCGCCTCTGATGTGGTATCTGTGTCCCCAGCGGGAGCATCGGGCTTGGGCTCATCAGTATTGCCGCAAACACAGAAGGGGCACTACGCAAGACGATAAGAGAAGAAAGAGAATAAACTAAGATAAGATAAGCGATAAGATAGATAGATAAGATATACCTTCTCTTTGAGCACCACTCGATACTTGGGATGACTTATATAAATAAATAAATACATTAGAGGTTCTCTCTCAAGTGCTGCGCCCCGTCTTACCTTATGCCGTAAACAATGGGATTGTAGACGGCGCTGGTTTTGGCAAATGTGGCGCCCCAAATGGTGGTGAGCGGGGTCAGTCCCTCGATCTTGAACAGGCCAAAGTAACAGATGACCAGGTACGGTGTCCAGGCCATAAACCACAGCGAAATAGTCGTCAATGCCACCTGGGTGGATAATGAAATGTGAGACGGTCTCAAATGAATTACTGCCGTCTCACCTTGGCCAATTTGCCCTCGGCGCTCTTGTCGCAGTCCTCCGAGCTGCGCAACGACTTGACGTTCATCTTCTTGGCCTGCTCACGCATGGCCTTCTCGTGTGCTGCCACGGCCTGGAAATTGGCTTGTTGGTGGGGAGGTGGGGAAACGTCTACTGACTCGCACACTTACCGCAATTATGAACCAGTACGAATAACAGATGAGAAACAGCGGCACATAGTAGACGAATATCGAGTATGTTATGAGATAGGAGCGTGGATTCCATTGCCTGGTCATGTAGTCAATGCTGCAGGCGGTTAAATTCCCCTCCGGCACGTAGCTGCTCCAGCCGATCAGGGGCATTATGGTCCAGAACGTGGCCATCAGCCAAATGAACAGAATCTTCATGATGGACAGCTTGATTGTCATGGGCGTTCCATTGATGCCCCTCACAATGACGTTGTAGCGATCGAAGGCGATCATGCACATGGACCAAATCGAAACACAGCCAAACATTGAGCCACACACTGCATAAATATCGCACCACAGCGGACCCAAGACCCATGTCTCGTAGTAGAAATTGACCAACATGACCGGCGACTGTGAGGCCATCATGCAAAAGTCCGAGAAGGCCAGATTCAAGACGAGCAGATTGGCGGGCGTGCGCAGCGACTTGGTGCCGCCAAAGATGTAGACAACCACTCCGTTGCCGCAGCACGAGATGATCATGATGGCCAGCGTGAACAGGCCCAGAATCTTGCTCATTGTGGCATCCATCGGCGCAAAGCGGCTCCAATATGGATTGACCAGGTGCGCCATATCCGGCAGCACCTGCAAAATGAAATTGAAATTTAGTCAAAATGACTTGAGAATGAAGCATTACGAAACTATTGATTATTATTGATTAAATTTATCATACATTAGAGGGCGTGGCCAGAGCTGCATGTAGCCTCGGGTTACCCTCGGGATAACCTGATATGTATTAAATAATTTGAAGTGCGTGAAATTTGTTGTATGCAGATAGATAAAAATACAAAAATTGAATAAATAAAAATTAAATAATAA